CATGCTCGTTTAGATCGATCGTTTTGTTGTACTTAGGTATTTCGGACATACAAAATTTCTTAGGGATCGTTTTTGGGGCCGCGCTGGGAGGAAAAGATTTTTTCACGAACTTCTTGGAATCGAGTCCCTTCAGTATCGGAGGCGCTCCTGGGATTTGATCTACCTTGGAATTATAGGTTTCGACCCTTTTATCGTTTGCTTCGATCTTCTTTTTCCCTGACTTTATCCGCTTTGTCCCACTCTTAGACCTTACCACGGCTGGCCCCGTTCTGTGGGTGACTTCTTGGGGTGGACCAGGTTCGACCCTGCTCGGTGCCTGGGTTTGGCTTTGCAACTGAGCTATTGCCACGTGTTGAGCTTGCAGCATTCGAAGATCATGCGTAGGTTGATTCCGTCTTCTTCGATGTTTTGTGTGTTTCGAGCTGCAGATCGGGTTCCACCATGGACGATGTTTTCGGGACCAGTATGCTGGTTCGCGTCAATGGATACATGTGAATTAAAGTCAATCGGATCCGCAGCCCGAGTCCCAACGGGGTCAGCGGGTGGCCTTGCACCACCGGGCGCCACGTTGTTATTCTCACCTTGATGACCAGACCTGTTGTCGATATGCAGGGGCGAAAATTGAGAGTTTGTCATTTTTAGCCTGAAATCAAAGACACTTCTAAGAGCAAGTGTAAAGCAGTGTATGTTATAGAGATTTGTATCAAATAACCACTATTATCCTTAGCCCCACTGTGGGTGCCAAACTGTTTACCCTCAAAATCGGATAACAATTGAATTTATACAAGGTTTTGAGGATACGTGATATATTTTGTTACAAAGTGAGAAACCAGATTTAATATGGGAAATAAATAGAAACACAAATGCAAACCATACAGATTGGACAACTTAAGCCTTGCAAAGAACACAAACAAAGCCGGAAAAGATAATAAGTTGTTCTTTGAAGTATGTTACTCTCCCTCCACGAATTACTCCATTCCCTATATANGTGATTTTCGCCATAATGATTGGTAAATGGCGAGAATCACGGATTCTTATCGTATGAGTTGGCAAAGCTTTTTTTCGAGGTCGTTAGAAGCGGGGTCGGTCGTGCCCCCGATAAACTCGAGGATAAATCTGATGGTCTTGTTCGAACTTTGATCCCCGATATCGAGCTAAGTTATATCTGTAACTTCGATCTCTTACGTAGGTGCCGAGCCTTGACCTATTGTTCCAGATGCTCAATCAAGAGTAGAGTTCGGTTCTACCCGTATACAATTATTATTATTGCTATTTAATATTTAAGAAATACTTATAACTTAGAAAATCTTTTTTACATAGTTAATCGGAAGAAGGGAATTCCAAGCGGACAACCACGATCGGGAGCCCACTAATTCAAACTCGTGATATTACAATTTAAATTGTGAGTGTTTGGCCTCTGGCCGAGGAAACACACATTTCCCTTTCTAAATATAGATTTTTTTTTTTTTTTTTTTTTTTTGGTTTCTCACCCGGTGTCTGGTATTTGTATTGGGGCCCGACTAAATTCGGATTCGCACCTCAAAGTCCCACATTGGGGGTAAAGTGCTCCCTAACAAAAGGGATTCCATATCCAGGGCTCGAACCCAAGATATCTCTCTGGTTAATGATGAATGAATACTTACCACTCTACCACAACCCTTGTTGGTGAGTAATATAGAAAGTTTTGGATTCTTTCTGTAGATTTTTATCTCCAAAAATGCATGTTCTAGAATAAGTTGCGACAAATAAGCATACGTGATCAGAAAAGAAAGAGCTCATAATGGGACGGTGACAAACGTGAGTTATGATCAAATCAAGCTTTATCACGTCAAATTATGAGCAATTTAGTTTATTTAAGGAAAATATTAAAGAAACTCCTTATTTCCAAGAGAATCGCCCATTATCTCACAGATTTAAGCATATATACTAACAATATAATTAAGAAGTAAGTTGTTCAAAAATACGAATGACCAGAAGATCAAAGTTCAAGCGTCAAATTATGGCACGGTACTTGTCACGTGAGTACTTTGCCCCTCTGTAAATTCCACGTTGTAACTTAAAAATACAAATGACACAAAATTAATTTTCAAGCGTCAAATTATGACACCTTACTTGTCAAGTGAGTACTATTGAGAAAATGACATTGTATTGTGGCCGTAAAAGTAATAACCGAAAAATGTATAAAATTTATTTACTTTTTTTTATATATACACATTTTGTATGTTATATACAAAGATTATACAAATTTTATACATTTTTCGGCAATCAGATGTAAATAATTTCTGACGCGGGCTAAAAGTAATAATACCTCCTGTAAATTCCACATCAACAAGTCTCACTCACTTTTAAAAAATAGTCCAAATATAGCAGGTAATATTGGAGTTAAATGGATAAGAGTCAGGGGCGGAGCTAGCTTATCGAGTACGGGTTCGGCCGAACCCAGTCGCTTTGGTCCAATTCATGTATTTGTAGAACACATTAACTTAAAAGGATTATAATAACGAACTCATAAACTTCAAATTCTGGCCCACATATGATAAGAATAGAGTAAAAAAAGAAATTAAAGAGGGAGAGGAGGCAGATTTCTTGTGGATTTAAATTCTTGGCTACCTCTCCAAACAAAAAAGAGTCTAAAAATAAGTCTATCTATTTTTGGCAAAGGTCGGCCACCTAAGTTCACCAAAATTAATAATTTCCCATATATACATCTTCTCCATTGTGCCAACTACAATTATCGTAAGCATTCACCATATTGTCATGGGCTTAAAATGAAGTGTCAAATATGAAGTGAAATGAGCCAAAATTGGATTGCCAGTTGGGTGGTGATTGTTGGGGAGCTACTCTTATAAGCATTTAAAACAAGAATTATACATGTCACTTCCTTTGTTTGTTCAGCCAACTGTTCCCCTACTTTTTTTCTTTATCCGTGTTGTGTGTTGATCCGATTAATTTCGTTACGTGCGAAGACAAACAGATTCAGAATTTGAAGTTTATAAGTTCCTATATCGACTTCAAGTAAATTTACAATAATAATTGGGTTCACCTTCAAATATTTATAGATATTTAGTGAACTTCTTAATATATAAATAAAGTCCGAGCAAAAATTATTGGGTTTTCGTGAACCCGTATGTCGAGCTCTAGAGCCGCCCCTAGGCCTGGCACGAATGTAGTGTATATTTTTTGGTTTATATAAACTCAGTGGCTTTGCTTCAAACATTATATATATATCTGGATTCCATTAAATCAAATGAGTTATGGTAAAGTATCGAACTCGACTCCATAAAGTTTAAATGTTGAATCTGTCTCTGAATTTGATTTTGATGCTCCATGCTTTTGAACAAAAACAAAAAAAAGACAAAGAAATGCAGTTGACTTTCCTTGCATTTGATGTGGGGGTTGACAAAAGAAGAATTAGATACAAAATGCTTACATCTTTGAAGTTGCTGGTCAAAGACTGCTGACAACAAGTTCTTCATTTTCATATTTATCTTTTGAGGTTGGGTTCTTTAATTCATTTATGAGCGTTCTACTAATATTTTATAACGAGGTAGAAATAAAGAAGGCATAGGCTTCTGAATGATGTTATTTATTGTGAACATTCTTCATGTTTTTTGCTACTGTTAATGCGTGTAGCAAGCAGGACAGAGTTATATATATGATTTGAATTAAAGGGATTTAATCTAATTCCTTTCGTTAAAAAATTATATTATGTATATAAGTTGAATGGTTTATTTATATGTGTGTATATTATATAGTTTTAATTTCTTGACACAATGAAACTCCTAAAAGCGGTTTAAAATGGCTTTAGGTTTTAACTTTAATAGGTATCATGTGTAAGTACTCTAATATCCCTACCACTTACCTTTTTTATTTTGCATATTCCTCTTTGGAGATAAAAGCGGAGTGAGAATTTAAAGTTTATGGGTTTTGAATTGGTCTCCGAATTCATAGCTCGTTTTAGTTATTGTATTTGTAATTATATATTTATATATATTTGATGGATTTCCTTGTACAAATACACAATTTAAACAAAAGTTACTAAATTTGTCCGATATCCAATACTCTAACTCTGCCCCTGGAATATCAGGTAAGTATCCTTAAAATGTGAGATTTGTACTGTTAAAAATAAGATAGATTACGTGCTATATAACATGCAAAAGGGATCAATGGTATGAAATTCCTTACACTAAGCGCATATATATATAACTTAAACTCAGATAGATAAAATGCCAGACATTAATTTGTTGTCTTTAAATTCAGGTGAAAATTCTCAAATCTTTAATTTCATTACAAGTTTTTAACTTTCACAAAAAAGATTTCCAATTAAAATTCATTTCAACTCAATATTTAACTATCATAAAAAAAAATCAACTTTCAACTTCATATAAATCTTGTTTCAACTCCAACTTAAATTCTGCGAAACGCATGCTTCATGTTTCGTTGAACAAAAATATCAAGATAATTGAAAGAAAAATATGTGATGTAAGCTTATTGCAAAGCCTGCCAAGTGCTTACAGTCTTCAAACTCTAAAATAGCAAAGTTGGAAACAATAGAATGATTTCCTGTAATCCATGTATAGTTTGACTAGAAGAAAATTATCCTACAAAAGTTTTTTATGTTTTATTTATCAATCTCTGATAGAAAGAGTCTTATAACAAATTGATTTAAAATAATTTCTTATGATCAGTTACAATTACCAAAAAATTTTGGAGCAACGATAAAATTGTTTTCTTTTGATAAGTCACAAATTAAGTATAACAAACCGAGTCGATCAAATTGCAATCACATATATACAAGAAAAACTTATACACGCAATCTTAATATATAATATAGTAGTAATAATATTATAATATTTTTCCCAACTGGCAAATTGAATGCCACATGAGTCTAGACTCTAGAGCATATAATTAAAAGTTCGTTGGGGTAGTTGCACCCGCCCTCCCCCTCTTTTGCTGCTCATGCACCCTTTAAGTTAACGTACCAATTCACCATTTTCCTTCCCAATACATCTAAAACTCTTTCTTATTCAACCTCTATATCAATTTTTCTCACTTGGGTATCTTTTTATTTTCATCTAAAAATCCCAAAAAAAAAATTACTTCTCTTTTCAAAGTGTATTTGATTTGAGGGTACGTCTCTATTTTGATTCTTGACTGAAAATTTTAATAATGGGTGATGAGAAAATTAAGAATCTTGTGAACACTGAAGCGGGACGAGTTTCGGTTGAGGCTAAAAGTGAAAGAAGAAATAACAATCTTCCTAATTTTCTTCTATCAGTTAGGCTCAAATATGTGAAACTTGGTTACCATTATTTGATTAGCAATGCTATGTATGTGTGTTTGGTACCTATTTTGGGTGTGCTTTCAGTTCATCTTATGACTATTTCTGTGGAAGATTTAGTCCAATTATGGGATAAGTTGAAATTCAATCTTGTCACAGTAATTTTTTGCTCTGCTCTAGTGGTATTTTTAGGTACACTTTATTTTATGACAAGGCCTAGGAAAGTGTACTTAGTGGATTTTTCATGTTACAAACCTAAGCCAAATGTTATGTGTCCTAAGGAAATTTTTATGGAAAGGTCAAAACAAGCCGGAATTTTCACTGAGGAGAATTTAGCGTTTCAAAAGAAGATATTAGAGAGATCAGGATTGGGACAAAAGACATATTTTCCGGAGGCGCTTTTGAGAGTGCCTGCAGAGCCTAATATGGCCGAGGCGAGGAAAGAAGCTGAAATGGTGATGTTTGGTGCCATTGATGAATTGTTGGCGAAAACTGGAGTGAAAGCTAAGGATATTGGGATTCTTGTTGTGAATTGCAGCTTGTTTAATCCAACTCCTTCACTTTCTGCTATGATTGTTAACCATTACAAGCTGAGGGGAAATGTTATGAGCTATAATCTTGGTGGTATGGGCTGCAGTGCTGGACTCATTTCTATTGACCTTGCCAAACAACTATTACAGGTTTGTTTCCTTTTTGACTTAATCAGCTACTTGTTATGTTCTTCCGTTTTGGATTTAAGTTATATACACTGACAGTGTAAAGAACTGATAGCGTAAGGACTTCTTTTTATATTGTCAGTGAATCTTAGTTTATAATAGTAGGTAAGTTACTAGATTACTGACAGTGCATAGAACTTAAACTCTTCTTTTTTTTGTCTCACTTGTACTTTTGAGTTTGATAATGGTTGTTCTACATCCTCTTCTTCACTCATTTCACCTTGTTAATCACTATAGGGAAGGAGATCATGTGATATTGTATCCGGTCCCGAATATCAGTCGTTTTTGACAAACTGAATTCGTTTCAAAATCTTTGACGTTTTCAAAAAAGAACAAGTAATTCGTTACCTTTTTTTTGCTAAATCTACCCTTAATATGATTACGACTATTAAATATTTTTCTTAAGAGGTATTCAAAAATTTTAAAAGATAAATAATATATGCAGGTGGAAACGGAGGCAGACGTAGCCTAAGATATATGAGTTCAATTGAACTCATAACTTTCGATACAGAGTATGTATATATATATATATGCATAAAAACCTATTAAAATTTAACAAATGTTAAATATGAACCCATAGTTAAGTTGTTCCAGCTCCGGGGAAAAGATTCATCTTCCAAGTTTGAACCCATTAAATTTAAATCTTGAATTAATGGAAAGTACTATAATCTTTAGTGGAAATTGGTTTCCAAGAATTAATGTACTAGTATAGTTAGTTCAAGTGGAATGAACACATTAATGTTCAATGTTTGCTAACTGCCAGTTTTTTATGCTTGTCCCACTCCTCAAAAAGTGTTTTTCTCTCATATGGGAAGTTGAAGTTAGCTACTTATGACAGAAGAGTAACAAACATTAATTGTATGCAAACATAAAACTTCTTTATAACAGTCTCGTTTGTTCTGATATTTTTTTTTTTGTTGTAGTGAAGACATACATTATAACATAACATAAAAATCGGTGCCGAAAAAAACTTGATAAAGTAAATGGCTGTTATATAGAGATATTGTTATATGACTGTACTCCATTTGTATATATCAAATATTAATACTTCTAAGACTAACTATCTAATTTTGTCAATGTTGTATATCAGGTCAATCCTAATTCATATGCACTTGTAGTGAGTATGGAAAACATAACACTCAATTGGTACTTTGGCAACAATAGATCAATGCTCGTCTCAAATTGCATATTCAGAATGGGAGGTGCTGCAATTCTGCTATCAAACAGATCATCAGATCGTCGTCGTTCAAAATACCAGCTAATTCACACAGTACGTACACACAAAGGCGCCGATGACAGGAGCTATGGCTGCGTTTTCCAGGAGGAGGACGAGAATAAGGAGGTCGGTGTTGCCCTATCGAAGGACCTAATGGCCGTTGCAGGGGAAGCGTTAAAAACCAACATCACTACCCTCGGGCCATTAGTCCTACCTATGTCCGAGCAACTTTTATTTTTCATGATATTAGTCGCGAGAAAAATCTTTAAGATGAAAATCAAGCCTTATATACCGGATTTCAAGTTGGCATTCGAGCACTTCTGCATACACGCGGGAGGAAGGGCCGTGCTGGATGAGCTCGAGAAGAATCTCGAGCTCAGCCAGTGGCATATGGAACCATCAAGAATGACACTTTATAGGTTTGGTAACACTTCAAGTAGTTCTTTGTGGTATGAATTGGCTTATTCTGAAGCTAAAGGGAGAATAAGAAAGGGAGATAGAACATGGCAAATTGCATTTGGCTCAGGATTTAAGTGTAATAGTGCTGTTTGGCAAGCTTTGAGGACTATTAATCCTGCTAAAGAGAAGAATCCTTGGATGGATGAGATTGATGATTTCCCAGTTGAAGTGCCTAGAATTGTGACAATTAGTTGATTCTTGAAAAATGTTTTTATTTTTTACCAAGCAAAAGTTATCTTAAGTATATCATTCTTTGTTACCTAAAAGATTTCCTTGTACAATGCTGTTTAATTATTTATAAAAGTAATACCACAGTTTCTGTTTTTTGTCAATATTTCTTCTTGATGATTCTTTAGTTTGGAATGCAAATTGGACAAAGTAAATTCTTTATTTTTTTAATTATTTTTTTTTTAACCGTGGTGTCCGAGCCAGCTTGCACGCACCTCGACTAATTCCACGGGATACCTGTCACATCCCACCAGCAACAGGTACCAAATAACTCTATCCACCAAGGCTTGGATTGATGAGAAGAAATCACCTAATATTTACCTCCGTTGGGATTTGAACCTAAGACCTCATGATTCTCACCCATTATTAAGCTATGTATTCCGAATTTTGCTCAAACCTTATTCTTATTTTGCTTCTTGTTGCTACTGCAAGTCTTGACTTCTCCACTATCATTTTTTCTTTCTGTGATTGTTGGAATTATGCTTTCCTTGAGCTGAAAGTCTATCGAGAATATGTTCTCTACCTTCACAAAGATAGGGGACTAGGAGTAATGTATGCATATATACTACCCTCCACAGACCTCCACTTGTAAGATTTTACTGGGTATGTTATTATTGTTGTAGGTTAGAAACAACTTTGATTTGTAATTTAAACCTTTTTTTAAATAATAAAAAAAAATTATCTATACATATATGGTTTGAGATGAAAAACAATAAAAGCGGCCACATGATTTCACGAGTGGATTACAAAACTTTCATCATTGAAACATACTCTCCCATTTTTACACGAAACGCTTTCCCATTTTATCCTCAATGATATGACTTATTGAAATTTATTGATATAAAGTTCATGGGGAAAAAAATGAAAAACACATGAAACTCTTACTACAGTCGTTTAAAAGGATAATTTTTTTAGTTTGCATATATTTGACTTACATATCAAGTCTTTACTAATTTCGTAAATATCGTGTCCAGTCGAATACATACACATAAAATACGGGATGTGGGTTGTCCAACAATATCACTAGCTGTATAGTGTATATGTGGTTTACTGCCAAGTGACCCTAGAACTTGTATTAAATCTCAAGTAATAAATGCATCAAGTGGAGGTGACGTGCAGATAGCTGAGCAAGATGGAACCAGCTGTTTGTATGCTGAAGGGGGAGCTGACAAGAAAGGCCTCATACAGGGGCGGCTACAGTATCGGGTTCATCTAAATCTAGTATTTTCTTCGCAGAGCAAAGATTTTTATATGAAAACTCACAAAAATCTCAAGTGAAGGTACAGATGAACATGCAAATAGCTGAGCAAAATGGAACCAACTGTTTGTATGCCTGAGATGAGAAGGGGAAGGTAACAAGAAGGTGGTCATATCCAACACCGACTACATCCGAATTTATGCGTAGCATAGATTTTTATGTGAAAATTCACAGAAAATTCATCAAGTATTACATCTAAACTCATAAATTTAAAACTATAATGACTATAATGCTAAGAACCTTAAAGATCGAACCAATCAAGTAAAAATCCCGGATCCGCCTTTAAGGAAATAGCTGCAGTAAGAGTGGGATTTTTTTTTTTTTTTTTTTTTTTTTTTTTGGGGGGGGGGGGGGGTGTTTATCTGAAGTGACAGGTAGTGTAACCCACGTTGTAAACTTGCTGTAGTCAGATAATTTGCTACATATTCAGAGGCAACTTCATTATCACTTTAGGGAGTCACTCTCAAGTATACCTGTAATTTTTTATTTATTTTTTGATTTATCAATCTTTTAGCAATTTCTCATGGCTTGTGGGCTTGTTGGCTAGCATACTTGACAGAGGTATAGTATAGATACAAAATCACTTTAGTAGTAAGCAATTTAATCGAAAAAATTTAAGTTATGCATATATAGGGTCTGGGGCGGAGCTACAGTAGTGAGTGCGGGTTCGGGCGAACCCAGTGACTTTTTCCGGAACCCTGTATTTGTATTGAAATATTTACTAACTCTATAAATATATACTGCCGAACCCAGTAACAAAAGGGGTCTTGGTTCAATGGTAAGGGCTGTGGGTTCGCTGAGAAAGATGGGGGTTCGATTTTCGCTTAAAGCAGTGTTTTATTTTAAAATTTAGAACTCACACACTTCAATTCCTAACTCCGCCTCTGTGTAAGGGAAAATATAGTCTCACAAATTCTTTACAGTACGAAAGAGACTACTTCAGTTTCATTCAGTCCTAACATGGCGTCTTGAACTTCATATCTCAGCATTTAGCCCCTAATTCGTGCACCTTTTTTATTTTCACATCGGAGAATCCCCTGCAGACTTCTCGTACAATGTCAGCTGGAGAAATCTGGTGTATAAGCCCACACTTGTATTATCCTTCCAACTTAAATACCGCGACAAGGATCAAGCCATAACAAGTGTCTTAACCAACACACCATGGGTAACGTCCTTGCTACTGAACCAAAGCCCTAGGACTAGCCCATAATTAGTGAACTTGCTTTAGTAAAAATAGCACGGGCTAGCCAATTTTCGGACTGGTAATTGAAAAATAGCCAGCGTTTGCAAAGTCATTGAAAAATAGTCACTATTTTACTGCAACACGGACCGGTCCAGCATAATATACTGGAGAATGGTGCACCTATGTATGAACTTCCAACATATTATGCTGGAACTCCAACACGCGGAAAATTCCATCATAATATACTGGAGATTGAAGCACTTGTGTATGAACTTCCAGCATATTATGTTGGACCAGTATATTATGCTGGAGTTCCAGTATATTACTGAAGATCCAGTATATTACTTGAGATCCAATATATTATGCTGGAACTCCAGTATATTATGCTGGAATATTTTCCAGATTTTGAACAGTGTTTTCGTTCAGATTTCTCTTTACATGAAAAGTGGCTAAATTTCGATTACTTTTGAAACTGTGGCTATTTTTCAATTACCACTTGTAAATCTGGTTATTTTTGAATTTCTCAAAGAACTACCGCCAAGAACTATAATTCTATAACATATGCTAAAGGGTTTTGCATTTAAGAGCTAACTAGAGGGAGACATGCAATACAACACGTTAATTAGTGCTTAGAGAAACAAAAAGGCATGTTTACCTAATAAATATTCAAGTTGAATAATATTTACAGCAGGATGTCAGCAGAAATCCACCCACGACAGCACTCTGGGTTTACATGCCCCAGATACCACAAGCTGATGCGACTTTGTTGCTTGGCCGTGACGTTAGTTCATATAATATCCTTGCAAATATGTCCGAGTACCTTGCATCCCCAAAGAGCATCTCTGCAAAAGCATTTTCATACACCAGTAAGAGGGGCTTGTTCTGTGGCTCCAGCACGAGGCTTTCCAAAATAGTTGCTGCTTTCCTACAAACTTCTGGTGTTGGATGCGGCATCTTAATCACTTTCAACAGTCGATCAATTGCCCTGAAGTTACATGAATAATTCATTCAGATACAAAAATAAAAGTAGTATGTCGCCTAAAACTAGGTCAAATTCTCTCTTACCATCGTTCACTGGCCAGCTTCAAACGACAGTCCATATTTATTTCTGTAAGGTTATATAATGCACCTACAGCAGCTGCTTGCGCATCAGTAGGTGGTAGGCTCATTATATCGACTAAACGTTTATATATCTGCATGTCGCACGAATTGGGTTTAGTGAGTTTTCTGAACATTCACAAGTTACAGATGGAAATATAGTATTGCAGTTGTCAAAAGGAATATCAACCTGTGAAGCAAAAGGAAGTAGGAAAGGTTCATTGTCGGGATTTATTATAAGACGACCAATTAGTTCAGCAGCGCCAGCGTGCCATGCCTTCACAGCAGATCCCAGCATTCCCATGAGAGCCTGGACTGCACGTTTCTCCCTGGATCAGGAAACAAACAACTCACTTTAGAACATACCGTTACAGAAAAAAGTCGCCACTCGTATTAGACCTAATAATACAAAAGCAAACAACTGTCCAGCCAAATGCTTACGTCATTTTGATAAAAGAAGGTTTTGAGGAGCTAAAGATCCGAAGATTCAGCAATAGAGCCAAATTCACTACAGTCTCGAGGGCATTTGTGACAAGTTCCTCATCCTCTGTCAAATAAGAAGTCCAAAATCAGAATAGGTAGATAGGAACATGTTTTAAATGGATATGAGTCAAGAAAACATTTTAAGCAAGAACATCTGACATTCAGGCATAACAAATCACATATTTATTCTTCTATCTTCTTCACAAAATAGGACCAAGTAACTTTTTTTTGATAAGTAATAGGACCAAATAATTTGTCCGTTTTACGTTTTTAAGGATTATTTGTTTTATATATTTTTTGGTGGAAGGGCATGACATGCAACATAAACAACACTGTAAAAAAAATATAGAATAGGGCAAGACGGAATTTTAAGACTAAGAAACAACTAAAAATGGCCTTGCAAGTAGACTAAGTCAATGTATTCGACACTCCAACAGAGTCCACGCCATTTCATTAGATTATGCTAGGCAAGCACATGAATCTTAAATTGACGCTTCCCATCGAAAAGCATATTTAAGCCACATAAGTCATAAACTTCACCACTATGAGAAGTTTGGAATGTGCTCAATATTTAGGGAGGTATCCAAGGAATAACATCATAAACAAGAGAGAATTTCCTCTACAGCTATAGGAACTTCCTCAGCAGGTAAATATTTGTCTAACAAGTCAAATAAAGGCACCATTAATGATCAACATTCTTCTCGATTATAACCAGGAAGACAGGATTACAAGATATAGTAAATGTCTTAGATAAGGAGAACATAATACAAAACGCCACGTGATAGATGACAAGCAAACACAGAAAAACTTGAAACATCAAGTCTAAACCTATTTCCTCACCCGTAACATAATCTTCAAGACATTGAAATATGGTTTCCAAGCAATGCCTATGCTGCGCCATGATGACTTCATTATCTGGCATGTTAGAGAAGTTGCGGATAATGTTTGAAGCAGCAACAGCACACAGCTGCTTCTCAGCCCGCCCCTCCTCATCCAAATTAAATAGGCCATCTTCTTCAAAACTCCAGGCTCCAGGGCGAGTCTTCGTAGTACTCTTATGAACAAATGCCTCTTTGTTGGAA